CTTCCCCTTCCCCTTCCCCTTCCCTTCCCTATATGCTGTTCCTCTCCATGGCCATCACGGGCTCTTGCAGGCAACAACTCTATTGTATAGAGTTTAGAAAGCCATCACCCCATGGAGAACACCATCACTGTACAAGCAGTATTAGGAGAGTGCTGAAAAACTAGCAGAGCATAATACCACATCAAAATTCCCATTTCCACCTTTCTTGCAATGAGGTTGCTACAGATGAGCTCATGTTTTATGTGGCTTTGCTTTGAGACTTTCTCCATTCATCTGGGCAAGGACATCTTAAGTAAGTGTCATTTAGAACAACACAGGGATTCTTCTTGTGATTGCTTTAAAAACAATGTTATTTGTAAAGTCGCCAAGATCAGAAAGCCATGCTCATTGAAGTATTTTAATGGGCACTGTGATAAATGATAAAGTTGTTGTAGCATCTATCATTGTCACAACATAGTTTAATTTTTACCCATCAAGGTAACACACGATTGTTTGAAGCTACTGGCCTCATCTGTAAGGGATATAAGAGCTTCAGTTTCGCTTGGAAATCAATAGTAATTGGGTCAGCATCAGCTACAAATGTAAGATGCTGCTTTGCTTTCTTCTGTAGAACCCTGAAAATATCAAAGGCGCTTCTAGTGGCCCTTAGTTCTGCTCATCTCCCACCTCTGTAAGATCTGTGCTTCTGCCTGCTGATGAAGCATAAGGCAGACGTGCCGTCCCTTGTGATCTCAGCCCTGACACAGTCGAAAAGCAACGCCTTGCTGGAACCTTCCCATTTGCAAAATAAAATGCATTTGGTTAAACTTCCATGGCAGAACTAGTTGGTCTTTAAGATCCCTTCCAACCCAAACCATTCTATGATTCTATGATGGTTCAGGGAGACATGATGTAAAAATACCTCCACCCCTTTGTTTGCAATCATATGCTGATAGGTTGATGCTGTGCAACTCTGCTTATGCGTTTTTGGTAGGTGCCACTAGATGTTTCAAGGAATCCCTGAGAGATTGGGCTGATGAAAGAGCAACATCTCTTAAACTCTTGCTATGTACACCCCCAGGAAATATAATGGCATGTTGTCTTCGTGAGCTGGGAGGAAAGCAAGGCATAGTCATATTCTGCAGCCCAGGGAGCAGTGCATGTTGTTGGTATCCCGGACTCTTAAGAGGAGGAAAGGATGGGGAGAAATGAAGCTTGTGCTGGGCTCCAGCTTACAGAGTTGTCCTGCAGAGAGCAGAATCAAAAGGAAACAGAGCAAGTCTTTCCTTTGCCAAAGTCAGTGACACGAGCTTGCTCCATGGGAGCTCTGTAGCAGGAGGTGGGAGGGAGGAAAGGAGTGACCCATGTCTTCTCTGATGGCCCATGGTGTCAGTATGCTGGCTCAGGAGTAATTCTGAAGTTCATTAAAGCTGGGCTGCTGTCAAGCTTGTTTCTGCAAATGCAGTGTGAACCTTCATTCTCAGAGATTAATGCAAGTTTATTTTGGCCCTTCCAGGGTAAAACAGTTAAGAAAGGGTTAATGTGAGTTCAAAACGTAGTTGAGCACATGATTTCAGGAAAGGGCAGAGGAACAGGGATCTGGACAAGGAGTTTTTGCAGAAATCCCACGTGAGATGAAGTCTCAAGCCTGAGCTGCACAAAAAGTCGTCTTCACTCCTCTGCAAGGTGCTCAGCTGTCAGTATTTTGGGGCTGGAAGACAGTGGAAGACAGATTGATACTAACTGTACTGCTTCATCATCACCTGGCACATCACCTTCATCATCATGCTGCAGTGATTGTAATAACCCAAGAAGTATTTCAGCATCTGACAATGTGCAGTGCCATTGGTACAAGAGGAAAGGTCTCTAATCAAAGCCCTTAAGGTTAGTAAAAACATTGTCAAGAACCTCATCTGTGCTCGCAGCTTGCTCTAAAATATAACAAGTGCAGATGTTCTGTGGTGTTTAGCTCCACAAAAGTACCATTATATGGTAGTCAAGGCTTTCCCAACGTCTCTGTGATAAATCCCATTCTCAGAGATTTGTAACTCAGTTGCTACCTAAAGAGAGATTCCTCTTGACCTAAAGGTTGGCAGCCCAAATAATTGATGCTTCTCGTGTCTTTGCTGCTAATCCTCGTGATTTGGGCTGGCTAAGATCTGGGGAGAGCAGAGCTGCAGGTATGTGCCCGAATGCAGCAGAGGTGGGGGATGTAGGAGAGCTGGGTTGTCCTTCTTCTCCTTTCCTGACATAGAGTGGTCACCCCAGGAAGTTTGTCGTCTCTGCAGTTATCTCTGTTCTTGTTTGGGGTAGAGCTGTGTGCAATGATGCATTTTGGTTTTTTCATCCAAGATGACTGGTTGCCTTCTGACTTGAGGTAGCAAAAGCTCATCTGCAGCCTGGTCTGGACACGGGGCAGATATTTTTGTTAAAGAGCTGGAGTCAGAGTTTGTTTGAAATTCAGTTCTCACGAAGGCTGTTGTCGAATTTACACCCATCTGGTCAAGGAAGCTAGCCCATTTTGGCAACTCCCTTTTTTAAATACCCAGGTGCTTTCGCTTTTATATGCAGATTTTATGGGGGCTGAGAATCCTTTTGTTGTTTTTTCCCTAAGCTGTAATGCTTTCAGTATTATATAATATATAATAGTGTTCACTAAACTCTTATAGCGAATAGGAAGTTCTGTTTCTTGGATCTTTAAATCAACTAGTCCCCCAGACCCTGGGTAAAGGCAGGGAGAGGGCCAGACATTCCCACCTTGCTCCCCTCCCTCATCTCTTTCTCCCTGCCTTTTACTCTTTTAATTTTTTAAACGACATTTTTTACAACTTGTCATAAAAAAACCTGTGTGCATCTCCTTGCCTTTTGAGTTCTGATATATAGATACTTCACGCTTGGTTTATGTCTCAATACCAGGAATAGAATGATCTGTAGTAAAAGGAAAAGATGCAAAAGACTGCAAAAAATAAAAGGAAATCTTTTTCTTCTGTTGGAATACATGACTACAGTATGCACAGCGTTAGGCTAAAACTAGCATTAAAAAAAACCCACAAAACCCTGCTTGCGGAGCTGTAAAATAAACGTGACTTGAACTGTGGTGTGTTTTTTTTTCACTCCATTAACACGCTTTTGTTTCTCACTGATTATTTATATTCTGGTAGCAGCAAGACACCCCAACTACCATGGGAGCCCCTCGCTGAAGACCTCGGGTCCCACCATCCGTCATGGGCACGGCTGAAGCTTTCATTGTTGCCCTCCCAGTTTTGCTGTTTGATGGTCTGAACTACAGCCATAAAGCAGGACGCAGCAGTTTAAGCAGCGTTGAGTTAGACATGAGGGAACGTTGCTTAATAAATCACGCTTGGTACAGTAGCAAAACTCTGGAAACTTCAGGGCAAGCCTTTAATGAGCAGCAGTATAGTTCCTCCGTGGTGGAAAAGAAGCGTAGGGCTGATCCGAGACCGTGCGCATCCCATCCCATCCCATCCCTTTCTGCTGCTTTATTACTCATCATCTGCATTGTTAATTTTTACTGGTTCGTTTTAGATTTTAAAGCTGAAGCTTTCCAGTGTGAATTTATACAAGTCATAATGTACGCTCTCTTGCACAGCCTAGGAATTTGAGGGAAAACCCTTTTGTTAATCACTTCTCCGGGGAGATTTTCCGTAATTTTCCCTTTGAGAGTTTTCTACAGTTGCTGCTCTATTCCGCCCATCCTATAAGATTCATAGCAGGAGATGGAAGTTTTCCTCACCCTATTGCCAACATCCCTGTTCCCTTCTTTTCCATTTTACCTCTCATGGACATTTCTTAGTCCGAGAAGATGGCAGCATAAAATGCAGCAAACGAAACTAATGAGTCTCAAACAAGCTGTTCTCCACTCCTATGAGCGAGGCCAAACGAAGCAGTAAGATGCTGGAAGTGGAAGGCAGGGTTATCAATCGCCGGAGGGGGGAAGCAGTGCCCGGGAGGACAAGGTAGCTGTGAACATGCCTTACAAGAGGAGTAACGGTGTTGCAAGGAGAGCAGCCATTATGGTGCTTCCTTGTTCATCAGGGCAGCTGCTACTGGAAACCCAAAATTTTCCCGTTGCATCTATTGGAAAGTACATTCGATGTGTTTATTGGGTCAGAATAACATCGTAGAACAGTTGCAGTAATGGAAATAGTGGATTTTCCCAGATCTGGTGAAAGTTCAGTGGGGACTGTGTTGCTCTCTTGCTCTGTTTAGCCCTTGATCCGTGGCTTGCTGACTTTATGCATGTCTTGTCACTGACTTCAGCAGTTCTCACATCAATTTCTTGGCTGGATTTGTGACCTTAGGTGAAATTTTGCCCGCTGGAGAGTGCAGCTTCTGTCAGGTTCAAACTGAGAAATGACCTCTTGGTATTTCCTCGTGGAGGGAAATGGTTTTTGCAGGGAATGCCGGCTGCTGAGACTTCATGTCAAGGCTCGGCTTCTCATATGAGCAGGTTGTGTCCACTGTCATGTGCCTTCATCCCATCCTCTTCCTTTCCCTGTATCTGGTGAAATAAGGACTATATCTTCAATGTATGATCTGTGAACATGATGTAGGTCTCAGAGGAATACTGTGAAGACATCCATGAATCTATGCAGACATCATGATTTCATTTTTTTAATTATTTCCTCCAGCAGTGTGAGCACCAGCACTTCTTTTCCTCCTTCTTTTGGGTTTTCATACAACCACCCACTCTGGAAGTGCAGCAAGTTTATTACTAGAGACAAGATTGATCCAAACGCTGTGTCTCAGCCTCGATGCCATTCCCATCACAAAGTTCAATTACTGCTTCAATTACACTGCAAGCCCTTGATGAACATTCATTAGTGGGAAGATCCCCGTAGTCATCTAGCTGTGCAGAGTCAAACACTGCTGCATTAAGCAGGAGGCAAAGATGCTGTAACAGATGCAAAGGCGATGATGCTGCAGGGGAAGCTGCTGATCCTTTGGTCTCTTTTATTAGGAAATCATCTCATGCTGGTGCTGGAACTATAAGTCTTATGGTGGAAATGGCAGAGGGGGGTTGAACTTGCTGGCCAGGCTTGTGTCAGTGCAGATGGACTTGAGTTGGAGTAACTAAATGGTATCTTGACTCAGGACCCAGAGTTGTTTTCAAAAGATCTCAAAGCCAGCAGGGATATTTCAATTTGATGCAGTGGGCTTTGAGTGCAACCCTCATAAACCAAGACAGGAGACTGTCTTCTAGAGCAGACATAATAACCACACTGGAAGAGATTTGCTTTAAGCAGAGATTTTCAGTGGGGTTTGGGAGTCTGTTGTGCCAGATATGATGCACTATCTGTAGTGCATCTGTTCCACTTGGGGTTTTTATACTGCCTCTCCCTTGTTGGGTTATCAGGTCACGTTGTAGTGAGGAGCCCTAGGAGAATTCATGGCATCTCTGGACAGAAGAGTGGCCATCTCTCACCTTTAAAAACAGTGACTCAAGGGCAGAACTACACGAAAAATCTCCGAGGGGGGTCATTGAGGCATAAAGGCTTATCACATTAGGCACCATCATGTTAAAGTGCAAATACACTTCCTTACGAGTAAGAGGAAGCACCCAGCTGCCCTTCTGCTAACTTGCTTGTGCAACTCTACAAAAAATTCAAGAGGTCGTTCAGGCCATCTTGTTGGGGAAAGTCATGCATGTTTAGCCTTACTGGCTTTTGGCTGCTTCACTGCATTCTTAGAGGGCTCTTAATGGGGGTTTTCTCTGGAATCACATTGCGCTGTAAATGCAACAGCCTTATCATCGCTGTCTGTGCAAAATTGAAGATGAAATGATGCCTGATTTTGATGCAGGGAAGCAGATTTATTTTTGTGTTTTCCATCGTTTGCTTCCCTTGGTTCGTGATGAATGCTCAAATGGCTCTGAGCTCGGTATTCCCATGTCTGAATTACATTATAAATTTGTGTTTATAGGTTTACAGATGCCCTCTCCAGAGTACATAGTTGATGTAGAATCTATGGACATTTTCCCCGTTGGCTGGTGTGAAGCAAATGCTTATAACCTAACGCCACCACACAAAGCTGTTTGTAAGTATATGGAAACCACAAGCAGCATAGATGTTGCATCAACGGGTTTGTCTTACATCTGTAATCTTGTTCTTGAAACTACCAGCCTAACTAGCAGACTGGTAACCAGGCTGTAAGTGCACTGTAATAAATAGTAATAAATCTAATTGGAGACCAGAATCTACAGCACTGGTATTATGCAATTTGTACTTGCCTGTGTGATCAGTCCACCTAAAACTGGGATTGTTTACACTGGGAAAGGCTGTTACGTGGTTTGGGATTGCATGATGTGGGTTGTGGGTTTGAGATGGAGTTGTTGGAGTGAAACCGGGTTTTGTTGCGCTGAGCCAAGTTCACTCGGGCAGCTGAGCGAATTAGGGATGCCGGACCTCAAATTGGAAAAAAATCCATAAAATACAGGGTGGAATGGACATAAAGAGGCCGTCCAGGTGGTCCCTCTCCAAAACACGATCTGATCCATCTAAATTGAGAAATGTTTGTTAGCGTCCTGTGGTGGAGTCTCTGCCCTTTCCCAGGGTATTTGTCCCTTTATTTCACTGCCCTTACCAGCTCAGAGATTTCCCTAGTGTTTAATTTAAATCTCTCTGGGCACAATTAAGCCCTTGGCGGTTTTTCCTGCCTCCAGTGCATATTAAGACTGATTTCCTAACCTTCCGTTTGCATTTGAAGGCAGTTGTTGAGTGCTCAGCGACTTGGTGTTCTCCTCTTCCTCTCGGAAACTATCCAACCCCCATCTCAAGCCACCAGACGAAAAATTAGCCTCGCTGTTTATATTAATTAACATCTGAAAGGCAAAATTTAAAACGTGTCAACCCTTTTGAAGAGTTAAATATGCTTAAGTTAAAAATCAGGCAGCCGGGGCCTAATTTGGGAGAGTACTGCTATGGCAACATGATGCAGCCTTATCGCAATTTATAGCTGGGGATAAATTATGCTGGAGGTAATCATGCTTGTAAAATGTGATCTTATCCATATGTGTTGCTGTATGGAAAAATATTTGTGTTTTTATTTCAATTTTTGTTTTTTATACTGATCCCATAAACCACGATATTAGCATTCCAGAGGAAAGATTAAATGTATTATTACATCTTTAAAGTAGGTTTTAATGATGTAGTGACTTACTTAAAAAACACCGAGAAAAGACGGCGATAGTAATTAAGTACCATTTCATTGTGTTAGAAGTCATTTTATAGTCAGTGCATTTATACAGCTTTTTATGCATTATGGGTATACTTTATAGGACAGAAGAGTACAAAACTATTTTTTTCTTCCTTGCTTCATTTTTGCAGTGCGAAGGAAGAGAAGAATTGCAGTTGTGCAACCAGAAAAGCAGTAAGTTTTTGTTGTTTAAGGGGATATTTTTACAGAGATGGATCGGGTCTTCCCAGGGAGATAACACACAGCAGCTGAGTGACTTTGCTTACTGCCCAGGTGCTGCAGCAGAGTCGACAAAAGGGTTCCTTTGAATCCAAAATGTGTGTGAACGTGTAAGAAAGCCTTTGAAAAAGAAATATTTTACTAGCTGGGACTGTGTAGCCAGTGTCTGATGGCCAGTAAGGGATGCTTATGGAAGATGGACCGGGAGGGCATTTCCCCATCTCTAGCCTTTGCAGTTTCTAGAAACTAGAATTGAAGGGATTTAAGCGTGAATATTTGCAGCCTGAAGGGCTAAAGCTCACAGACCAAAGTATATTTTTGGAAGAGAGGTGGATCTGGCTCCTTCTTCTGCCATGCGTTGGCCCTGGGCTATAATAAACGATGTGGAAGGGGGGTTGCATTTGAGTTATCTCCATTCCTTGGTCCAGGCAGGTCCTGGTGTATCTCTCAGTCCAGCCTGAAGGCTGGTTCTGCCCCGTTGCCCTGTCTGACACTATTAAATACACTGAATTGCTGTTTAACAGGTTACCATCCACAGTGCCTGTTGAGAAAATACCTCATGACCTCTGCCCGGTTCCTCAGCCAGACACAACAGGTAAGGCTGCTCGGCACCACCAGGGTCCCTATTTCAAGGACCCGTTGCCTATATGGAGGGAGATGACCCCAAAAAGGAAGCAAATGTGTCATACAGGTGGGGAGATGGAACCACATCCTCAGGGAGTGTGAGGTGGTGAGGACCCACCAACAGTGCGAGAAGTCTCTAAGACACAGCGTGTCAGGGTCTGGTCCTCCATGTGTGAACGTTGTGTCTCGTGGGGGTTATTGGAGCTCCCCTTCAGCTTGCCCATTTCAGCTAACGATGTTAGGGCCAGGCTAATGAAGCCCTGGTGGAGATGGATGTGACTTTTTAATTGGCATCAATGAAACTGCTTACACCAGGACTTAATGGGTCCCTGTGTTAGCATCAAGACTGTGTGACATGGCTGCTACTTCTGCTAAAGGCAGATTTTTGTCCCCCTTAGCGATGGCAGGAGGCTCTCAGAGTGCAATGGTCATCCAGTTAATTGTGTAGACTCAGCAGGAGGGGCAGGTTTTAACTCATTTTGTTTCAGCAGACTGCAGGACACGCGTTGGCATCTGAGCCAACATCCCAGGGCCCCGTTAAAATCAGATGGGGAGAAACAGGCTCTTTTTGGTTATGATAACCGAAAAGCGGATAACCACTTGGATAGCACACGAACCCCATCTAGAAGTACCCACTTCTCTCAGCGGGCTGTAAAGGAGCTCAGAGTAATTAGCCCAGATAAAGAAAACTGTCCTGTAGACCCATGTGGGGTCAGGGGAGTGGCACCACAGTGCTTACTGGGTTGGACAGTAGCTGAAGAGGGGTTTGTAGAGCTCTCCACCTGAATTTTCTCCCTGAGCCGATTCCGTATCTGTGAGAGGCAGCTAATACATTGCCTTTCTGGCAAGTTACAAGTCAGTCACTCGCATCCATCTGTCATGCGAGTTATGAAAGAGCCTCAGGTCAAGTTATGAATGAAATCCTTCCTCGATTCTCTTTTTAGTAGAGGTGTGCAGCCAAATCAGTTGCTATTAAATCATTTGCTTTTCTCGTGTCAGACAGGTTCAAGTAGCAGAGGCTCCTCTACCTTCTATCTCAGGGAAGACTTTTTGTGCCTCCTTTACTCTTGTCCCCTCCTTCCCACATCTAGGAGGAAGAAGAAGGGCCCTTGATCTATTGTACAAAAGTGCTACACGCACATCAATGCTACTTTCTCCTTGCAGGCACCATCAATGGGAGATACTGCTGCCCCCAGCTCTACATCAACCACCGCTGCTTCTCAGGTCCATATTTAAACAAAGGCAGAATAGCAGAGCTACCTCAGTCTGTCGGGCCTGGCAAGTGCGTGCTGGTCCTCAAAGAGGTACGGCTCAGCTATCTTTTGGGGGGATTTCAGGGGAAAGCATGGGTCAGGGGTTGCCAGGCCCAGAATTTGAAAAGAATGAACCAAAAATTGTCCTGGAGCTCTGTAGCAGTTTCCATAAGTCAAAACCGCCAGCTGGGAAGAGAGGGTAGGTATATGCATTGCGGGTTTTGATGGGAGAGGTGACATTTTTGAAACATGAGGAGTTCTGTTGGTTGGGAGCAAGTTTCATCTAACTATGTGCAAGATAACTCATGTTCTGACCGGAGCCATCCCCAGAGAGGACCTCTGTGGTTGCTGCCATTAGCCGGTTTCTCAGCATCAACAGTGCGTTGGACCAGCAGATTCAGCATGGGTGATATCTTCGTATATGTGACCATGGTCTGATGGAGCCCAATCTACTTGAGATGAAAAGTGAACAGGATAGAAAACCAAGCAGGGGTGTGTGCCATGTGCTGAGTGGAAGCTGTGGTGTGCCCAGCTCTTGTTGAACGTGGGTGGGTTAATCCCATGCAGGAGGGATGGCAGAGCACCACTCTGTTCACTTCATTGTGACCCAATCAGTGCTTGCTTTGAGGCAAATCCAGAGTGTTGAGTGCTTGCTGTTGACCTCAGAGAAAAGCTAGCTTGTTGGAAAAAACACATAAATATTTTCCACAAAGATTACAGTCCGTGTACAGATGAAAGATAAGGTGACTGCAGGTGGCAGAGGACAGCAAGATGGTACTGTTGGATAAGCAGGGTGCCATTGGTGTCTTGGACGCAATTTCAGTTTGACTTGGGTCTTCTAGAAATCCGGATCTTCCAGCTTTCAAGTCTGTACCTATATGAACTCCAGTTGATGTGGATGCTGGGGCATATCTGAGCTCCCTCTGCCCTTGGTGGAAAAGCATGGGAACTTCTAGATGTCCGTTTATCTGATGTATTTGCAAGACCCGCAGTGCCCAGCTCAGGGTGTTTGCAGTTGTCTGAAAGGAGATGAATCCCAGCCCTTAAGAGGAACACCTGAAAGGTGAGATTCCTCCTAAATCACCCACCACTTTTGAAAACATCTCCGTACTGTACTGTAGGGTGACTCCTGTGTCCCCATTCACTTCATCATCTACGTGCACTGCTTCATATACAGTTATCTTGCATGGTTGAAAGCTGGGCTGTGAAGACAGCCCAGTAATCCAGCTGCCTGTGCAAGTGGGACACTTGGGTCTCAAAGAAGCAAGTCCAGAGTAGCCCTCAGCAGAAAGCAGGAGCAAGTGACTGCAGAGCAAAGGATGACAGCTGCCAAATTCGAAAGCAAGTCCATAGCAGCTTGCTGGTGGGGAGCGTTGGTGGTCTGCTACTACTTGGAAAACAGGCAATGAAAAAGCAACAAGGGGAAACAGGAGGCATTCACAATTAATACTTACGCTCGCGTTTCTTCCTTCTTTCCTCCTGGAATTTGGATCTTAAAAACATAACCAGTGCAAAGCTTCTGCCAGGTACTTCCCCAGTATCTTAGAGCTTTGCTGCATAGACCAACACCAGCTTCTCCAAATTCCTCAAGAATGGGACCAATTACCAACTGTGGAAACCAGCCTGAGTTTCCTGTAGAAACCTTCTTTTCTCTTGCTGTGCCTCCTTACAGAATTGCTTGCTGAAGGAGCAAGTAGCAGTGTCAACGAGACATGAACATCTTGCTTATGGAGACATGAATGATTTCCCAAGGAGCAGGACAATGGCAATGGCCCAGCATTGCTCAGTGTTATTTTGTAGATAAATTCAAATTCGTTCTGGCCACAAGGACCAGATCTGAATTCTGGAAAGGGTGAAGAGAAGTGCTGCAGGAGAGGTACACCTGGTTCCTATCAGCTGCTGCCAAGACAAGAGAGGTGTCAGCAGCTCAGAGAACCATGGGCTGGGATGAGGATGGGAGTACCCGCCATGTGGAGGAGGCAATAAGTGGCAAAGACAACATCCCTCCATCAGGGTGAAGATCTGTAGCAGCTGCCGGAGCACCCAAAAGGACTGCAGAGCTGAGTGGTGAGAACAGTGCAGGACGTATCTCCTTCACCCCAGGCCCACAGCAACAAGGCTTTCCACAGCTGCAGAGCTCACGAGGGTCCCCATCCCTCCGAACTGAGTGTTGGTGCTGAGCTCAGTGCCTTTGTCTCGCTTTACACTGACTGATGATGTGGCCCCAAGAATGCAAATGCGTTATAATTATCTCTCTCTCACTATATAGGAAAATTGCAGGCCATTGTAAATTATGCATCAGCATAACTTGTCTGGAATAGATAAATTATACATGGGCTTTACTTTGGCAACACACAGGGGAGGGTGGGAGAGACAACTCGAAACAACAGCTATGAAGGAGGAGCGGAGTCGGTAGCAGTTTGGTGAGAGCTTTTTAAATCAACCTGGTCTCCAGCCATAACTCTCTGCCTTTAGCGACGCTTCAGTTAAACATCTGTGCCAGTTGCCAGCCAGTTCACAGCGGGCAGCAGTCTCCGTGACGGAGATGCTGTTGTGTTTGGCTCTGATGGAAACCCCAGACTAAAACCAACTGAACAACCAGCTCCTGCCATGTTCCCTGGCCTGGATTACCTACAGCAAGAAAAGAGCAGATGTCCTCTCCCCACAAGCACCAGGTGATGGGAGATCTTGCTCCTGGCTGGATGCTGAGGGAGTAGCTCCCCATCCTCTGCCTTCCTCCACACTCAACCATGAGGGTTATATCAAAAAATGCAGCATAATTGTAGTTCATGATGCTCCTCAGCCCTCTTTTCCCCCAAGGTCTTGTCCTTCCTTACCTCCATCACCTCCATCATGCAGTGAAGCATCATCCTGGATCCAGCTCCAAACAAACTGGTGCTACTCACCTGCATGCTAATAGTGTGCAAGCTACGATCAATACCGCTTGGCTCTGGTTTAAACAACATCAGGGGACACCTTTGTAGTGTGGAGTAGGAGCATCTCCTTCCATTTGAGAAGTATGGGCTGTTCTCACCTGGGGTGTTGGGAGAGAAGCAGCACGGATGGATTTGCTTTTGTGCAGCATCTCTTTTCCAACAGAACAGGCATTTCTGCCAAGCTCTGCATTGTTACCGTATGCCCCCCGATTTCTGCCCGATTGCTTTGTCCTAGTGTTGGATTCAGAGGTTGTGAGCTCTGCAGGGAGGAAATTGCTAAGGTGCCTTCAGGAGTGGCAGCCCTTGAGCAAGGTTTCCCAGCAAAATCTTGAGAGCAATTGCCACTTCTTTGGTAGTATGATCAAAAATACTGATTTTAATTCTGTTCATGTTTGTGTGCATGTGTGCTTGCATCCATGCAAAGCCTTAGGTGAGTGACAAGTAACTTGTGCTATCTAGTGCCAAAAAATTTTAAAAGCCTAGCTGTTCATTATTCCTGGTGCCAGCACAAGTTTCATGCTGGGACCAGTGTTTTATTGTGGTTTCTTTCCCCCCAAGAGGCAAGTGAGGTGGAAATGACTGTTGTTTAACATCAGCTGCAAAGTTTATCTCATTCCTGGGATACTTGTTTGGAAAAGAAGTTGAAACTTGGAGCCAAATACAGTGGAGACATCAACTATTGCCGTCCAACAACTGCATCTGGGCTGAGAAATAGTGACTGTATCGTAGCTAAGATATGTAATAAATGCCAACTTTAAGTTAAATTAAAATAAACACCTTGTCAGCCTTAGGTTTAGTTCTTGGGTCAGATTATCTAAAAAATCTGAACAGTTCTTCCATCTACGCCAAAAACTTACCATGGCAACACTCTAAAACAAAATGAGGTGTCTTCTTAAGACTTTGGGTGATCTATAACCCACCATATCTTAGGGAAATAAGCTGTAAAGATTAATTAGCCTCATTGCTTACTGTTCTTGCTGTTTTTAAGACACTTTGCTCTTTTTCTATTTAAAGATAAAATGGACTTAAAGGTAACGTGACTGTCCAAGTGATGCAAACGAGAAATCAGCCAACAGTTGTGACGGAAGGCTATTGCACTCTGCAACTTGAAGTTTTTGGAGCACAGCACGACTTCTTAGGAAAATTTGCATAATTAAATCATGGTGCTCAGAAAATTAAGTAGCTTGTACTGAGTCTTAGGTGTATGATTGAGCTGGGCAGATAGCGTTATCATTAGTGATCAGATACGGTGTTGGAATTGCAGAAACCTCTGTAGTCTGGAAAGATGTAAACCGTATTTCTGCAAGAGGGTTCACTGATGTCCTCCTCAAGACTGCTCTGTGGACATCAGCTCATCTGTAGTAGTTCCTCCAACTTAGGATCTGGACATCTGTATTTTTGAAATGTCATGGACTGTCGTAAGCGTGTCAACACTTAAGTGCTACAACCTTGACTATGATAAAAGCTCACTTCTAGATCTTTGATCATCTGTTTAAAGAATCTCAGAAAACTTTTTTTTGCTTCTCTCTCCGTCCCACAGACACATCATTATTCCAAGTAAAAAAAATAACTGTTTACTGTCCTGCCTGAGGCTAGCCTGGGAGTTAGACTCCTCCTGTTAGGTGAGAGATGTGGCCTCATATGTCAGATAGAGGAGAGAAATTGAGTTTCTGCTCATAAAGATGCTGATCATTGGGCTCTAGAACAGGAGAAGAGGTGTGATGGTATTTTAAACTGCCTGAGAAAGCTTCCTCCAGGGTTGGGACCATTAACAAAGAGGGTTGGAGAGATGGGAAATGTGTGAATACCAAAAAGCTGTGATGGGAAGAAAGGTGCTGAACTGCCCATACACGTCTAGACGTGCTCAGAAAAGGGCCCTTGTGCACTTGAAAATCTATGACATGGAAAACTTTATAGCTACGATGTCAGGTGCTTATAAGGTTGGGTAGAGTCTTGTGGTGGTGCTGTGTGCTCATGCTCACTGATGTGACTCCAGCCTACTTGACTCTGAAAATCCAAAGTTCAGCAGTACCAAAATGAAACCTCACAGATGTATAGCAGCAAAGGCTGGTGTTATCTAATCCACCCCTCTGCTCCAAGGCATCGCTGGCTGCACCCAAACCATTCCTGATGGAGAGGGCTGAAAATAAACTTTCAAAATCTCAGACTGATCACACTCCAGCCAAAGGGAATTTAGTGAATCAGATGAATATTTGACCAGTCTGATATGGGTGAAGTAACTTTCTATCTCCAGAGAAAGTTGGAAACTGGTCTAGGTTTCTTCACTGTTTTTCCTTTAATCACAGTTAGTTTTTCCGCAAGAACCAGTGTTCTTGTTTCTCCCAAGTGTTTAATAGGGTGTAATATGAAACGATAATGTTGTTAGAAGTTAACACTATTAACATGATGATGAACTTCTGCTGTAGGGTAAAATGCCAAACCCAGTGACTCATTTGAGATACAAGAAGAGTAAAAGCCAGAGGTTTTAAGATATTTTTTCTTCCCTTAAAGGGAAATGATTGTTCTTACAAAACACACTTTTTTTTTTAAACTGAGTTTGGAAGTTTACAGAGTCCTGCTGATGAGAAGCCAACTTTGAGAAAAGTCCTGTTGTTGTGGGTGTCTTTGCAGGGCTGGAGTTGATTAGGTGCCTGGGATAATGCCCAGACGTGGCCACACTGTTGTTTGCAGGGCTGGGTTTTCTTTTCTTGCTCATTTCCTAACTGTTCTGACAAGTCATACAAACGCCATCACCCTGATAAAGGAGCAGGACAGCAATGTTTGGAGGAATTGCTCAGCAAGAGACGCTTGCTTTCTGCTCCCAACTTTCCCACTGCCAAGCAGGGTAGGTGACAAAGTGTGCTGAAGGAGAGCTTTCCCAACAAGCTCCTGCATAGGTGTTAAATAACTAATCAGGAGGGGAATATGCCTGATGAGTTGTGAATGAGCGTGGGAGCTACCCAGGCACTTGATGTTTTTTGAAAGCCCACCTTTGGTTTCTCTGCATCTGGTTTTGGTGTCGGTTGTGTCAGAGGCCAGTGCCCCATCAGTTTGTACCGTGAGAGGGAGGCAAGAAAAGATGTGGATGAGCGACTGGATAGGCTCACCTAGAAGCCTTCTTTTCTTCTCTTGGGAATCAGTATGGCTTAGTAACTAGTATAGTGGGTTGGGTGGTGAGATGGGAACCAACTGGAGAGCTGTGGGTAAATCTGTGTTGGAGTTTCCCCTTGTATGAGATAGGGAGTCTGCTCCTGCCCTTCCTGGTAGAGTGCAGATGGTCAGAGCTGCATAAGACATTGGTGCTGTTATTGGGCATTGCTTTAGGCGTCTCTAATTGTGCTTTTTGGAAGATTAGTTCGAGTAATGTTTCCAAGGGCCCAATGATAAGTCAAATTTTGCTTCTAGTGAATAACCTAGCCAAGCAACTCAAACCACTGCCATTTTGCATGGTACTATGCAGCATTAAGTGAAGCCCTTGCCTGAAAATGCTTAATCCTACAAGGTTTTTAAGATGCTAGCAAATCCTCAGATTGCTGGGTTTATTTTTTTTAAAAAAAAAAAGAACTGAAAAAAAACTCCAAACATAAACACATTAGTCTTTGCAATATGACCTAGCCAGTTTTTCATTTCTGATGAACCACGTTCATGGGTGCTGGGGAAATGTAACAGTCACCACCCCAAAATCATTTGCACGCCCACAAAGAATTAAGAACAGGCATTAGGTAAGGAGCTAAATTATATCAAAACCAATCCAGACTCACTGTGAGGTCATTCATGTACGTACAATGCAGAGTGTTCAAACACATGGTCTGGTGCTGTTAAGAGATTTGTTTTTCTTGTATTTATCTCCTTAGGCCAAATGTAGACTATTAAAGCTTGGATTCCCTGAGCCAATAGCAGGAATCATTTTTATTCTCAGAGACTTTGGATTAAATGGATTGGCACATGTGTTTTGTTGTACAGAGTGGATACACACTGGGTTTCAGGCACACCTCCTGCGAACTCTTTTTGTGTAGACTTCATTAATATTCTGTTAATACAGTTAAGGCACGCAGCACTCAGATGCTTAAGCATATTGCTGACCTCAAGTATGTGAATTTTCCCTGTAATGTTTGGTCTGTAACAGTACACATGACTTTGTACCTGGTTGAGCTATCAGAAGTGTTTTCATGTTTTATTAAATTGAGCCAGTGTGAATGCAAGGAATGGAATCTGCTTTGGGTGAGAGGGTCTGTCTCAAAAAAAAAATTACTGATTAACAGAGGTTAGCTAGCAGCGTTTAATGCAGTCACCATATCAGATCGATGTGTCATCTACAATATGTTTGGCACAGTGATCCAATCTGGGACCTCTTCTCATTGCATCCAGCCCTCACCCTTTGCAGCCTTGAACCTGAGATGACACCTGTAAGCTGCTCCTGTCTATGCAGCACCTGGGATCATGCTCGACGTGGTCAAGGACTACTGTTAAACCCATCAGTGTTGTTGGTTTTGTCTCTCCATAGGTTCTCAGCATGGTGATCAATGCAGCTTACAAACCAGGGAGTGTTTTACGAGAACTGCAGCTAGTGGAAGACCCTCAGTGGAATTTCCAAGAAGAAACCCTTAAAGCAAAGTAAGTCTTCAGCATGTGCTGTTTTATTTGAGAGGCTTCAAAAAAGGAACTGATTGTGGGGGGTGGGAGAAGGAGAACAAAAGATTTTTTTCTATTGTGATAGTTTTACTTTTCTAATTATCATTTTGCTGTGTTGAATTGTTTGACTCGTTCTATAGTGACTTGAAGAAATGAAATATTCACCTGAATGGTTCATTTCTATTGTCTTTCTCCAAGCAGCCATCCAGACTTTGATGAAAAATGCCATGTTTATTCAGTGAAGTCCTGAGGTTTTTGATAAGCCGTTCCTATAAGCTTGGCTGTTACTGAATTAACTCAATTCCTGGCTTCCTAAATGTAGGAGTATTACTGCTTTTAATATAGAGCCTGTCATTCTGATGCAGAAAAACCTGGCAAGAATGAATGGCACAAAAAAAGTGCAAACAAAACAGCAGGGACACAGTTTTAAGCAGGAAAGGGATTAGGACGAAATACTAACAAATCTGGGATTCGAATCAAGATTTGAGGCCTTTCTAGAATATATGCTTCAATTCTCTTCTGAACAACACTCAAGAAAACTACGTATCTAGAAAATACTCAATTTCCCCTTCCAACTTCAAAATTTACCCATTTATGTCTTCTTTATATAATGAGCACTACACTTAGGATGCATTTCAACAACCATTGTCTCTCTGAAAGAGAAGAGTCTCACCAAAGCTCTCTCCAGGGTCCCTCCAAAGAGCAATTCTTCCCACTTCAAGACAGATGTCAGCAAATAGTTCTTTGAAGACTGCTCTCTCCATTAACTAACTTGGTCACCTTGACTTTTTGAGTACTGAGGTTAAATGCAGTGAATCTCACCATTTGTACTGAACGCTGCTACTCCTTTTCAAATAAAAGCAATTTTCTCTCAGTTGTTTGAAATGATTGGCCGTCAAATATGGCACTACTGATTTCTATTGTATTTGATCTTTGGCCATGCAGATATTGCAGAAGGCTCATGTGTGCTCTGGTTGAGGGAGAGAATTGAGAACCTTTTGTTCTGCATACTCAAAACTGCTTTTCTAAGGCATTGCAATTAGAAATGAAAAGCTACTAGAAAATCCTATTTTTAATTCGCTTCTTTCATCCATGTGGTTTTGTGTTTGTCAACTGAAATTTTGTGGATGGAGATCTAAAAGTCATCCTTGCACATGCAGATTTTAATTAAAAGCAAGTCATCGTCCATGACCTGGTTTTCACTGATTCCAGGCTCCCACACCTTCTACTAGCAAACAGATAATGGACTTCTACAGGTACTTAGCAGTTGTTAAATCAAGTTGTACTGCTCCATCTTAATGTCCTGTCCTGCGAAGACTTGAGCTTACAGGCAGTTTTCCTATTAGCAGCATCCAAAAGAGGACTGTTGGAATTTCTTATCTGAATGTGGAGATGCACCTTGCGCAAAAGCAGCAGTATGTAGTTCTTGAGGCTGCTGCAATCCTTACTTCTAATGAGAGACAGCCTGGAAAATGTTTTACTGACTGTCAAGTGCAGACATGTCTTATTCCTGATAGTCATCTGTGTCTACAGCCCAATCCATTGAGACCCCAGGCAGCTTCCTGACCCGGGGTGTGCGTAGACCAGGAAGACCAACTCAGTTATGAGTACATGGGCCGCTAGAGATTGTCGCTCATCCATATCACGTCAACCACTTATCCTCCCTCACTGTTGCCTCGTGGTAATCTCACTGTAACGAGCACGTCCATCTCCGTTATCTTCCCCCATGATGCTTCTACCCATTCATTCCTCTGTCTGTTTCCTCCTCCCGTCTATTTAGCAGGGCAGCCAGCCTGCTGGAATATACCTTATATCCACATTGACTGCCAGATAAAAGTATACCAGTGCTTTCCAGCAAGGAGCTTTTGGTTTTTGTGTTGGTCAGCCAGTCACAGGCTGTGTACGTGTTTACGTGTTCCTGCATGATGGCTAACCCAAGAGACAGCAATCTCAGCTCTGAAGAGAGTCAAGGAGCATCTTTCAACTTTATCAAGCCATAGAATGGGTCACTACAGGCTCAGAGCTGGGACACCATGTTTTGGAGCGACTTCTAAGCATAGAAATGTATTTTTGTTCAGTGTGGCGTTGTCCTCTGGTTTCTGAGGCTGGAGTTCTGCTCACAGAGTGGTGCTGGCTGGTCATACCAGCTTGCCTGTGGGTAGTTTGAGTACTTGTAAGAGTGAGTGACAGAGGGTAGACATGTCTAAGACCTAGGTCTTCCTTCTTTTTTCCTTCCTGAGTTTGGTTCAGCTGCTTCATCAAGAAGCACATTGGGGTTTTAATTGCATTTGGTTGTGCAGAAGCAGAAATGAAAACATGCTCATGAAATCAGATACCCTGGGATGCGCAAACGGCACATGCCACATTACATCAGGTCTGACAGCCAGTTGTGCTCCAGAATCTTAAACAGAGACCCGTAACGAGCAAAAACGCCTGTCTCCACCGAGTTCCAGCTACACCAGCTCCAATCGGTGTCTGGCCGCTAATGATGACAGCTCTACAGCCAGCTGGAGCGTCTGTGCTGTAATGTGACATGTCGTGTCACTGCCTTCCTTCTGATGTAAACTGACAACTCCTTGGATCTTGACAATGTTGCCGTTTGTTTGCGGCGATGGCTGCAGTAGGGTAGAGCAAAGGGGAGGGAGGAAGACGGGGAATCAAAGGCTGTTTTTCTCACTGGCCCAAACGCCAAATCGTGCACTGCCAGGAATGCATTATCTCCATCCTAGGGCAACGTGCGTTTAGTTGACTCTGCTGTCATGAGTGACCGGCGCAGAATCAATTACACTAGCCTTGCAAAGAAGATAAACAATCCAGATTGTCCAAAGAGATGTGTCTGCAATGCGTGATGGCAGTCGCTTCCCATCAGCGCTGCTGGCTCCCCGTGAAAAATAGTCAAACCTGATTTGTTGGGGATGATGAGTTAGAAGTGTCAGGCCCCATCTTCTGAATTCCCATGAGGGCCAGCTAAAGCCGTGGGCATCCAACTCTTATAGATACTTTTAAGTTCAGTGCCAACATCCAGATTTGGCTTCCCAATTTTGCGTAAAATGCTTGAGGGACTTTATCCTTGGAAGGGCTTTCACTTCTAAGGCGGTAAGTGGGGCTGTTTGGACTTAGCCAATTTTGCAGGACCTTGAACTTTAACAGTACCAGTGTGCACAGAGAGTTCTCTCCTGAGTCTTGTATGGAGCCCAGTTAATAAAAAAAAAGAAAAATGAGTGTTCTTAGACTCCTTCATTACAAGAAATTTTGAGCGTTGCCCAAATCCAGCAATTGAACTCTAGGAATCACAGACACCATTGCTTATTTATGAGGCTGAATTTCAAAGGAAGTCTTTTCGCCATGGATGCTTTAGAATACTGCCTTTCGTTTGTGACAGGTGATGCTGAGGTGTTCGAAGTCTTCTTTGCCTCAGCCTCTGCTAGCAAAGGTTGTTCTCAGACCTCCCAGGTCCCTGTTACTGTTTGAGGGAGTGAAGTGTTACCCACGGTAGATGGATAAGAAGCTAGAGATGCTATAAGCCAACTGGATGTGCACAAGTGCATGGTGCCAGATGGAATGCAGCCACCTCTTCTTGAGGCAACTGGCTAGTGTCATTGCAAGGCCACTCTCTGTCGTGTTTGAAAGTTGATGGTGATCAGGGAAGTTTCCTGATGTCTGGAAAAAGGCAAACATCACACCTTTCCTCAAGAGGGGCAAGAAGGAGAATCCAAGTAACTACAGGCCGTCAACCTAATGTTCATAGAATCATAGAATCATGGAATGGTTTGAGTTGGAAGGGACCTCAAAGATCATCCAGTTCCAACCTCCCCGCCATGGGCAGGGACACCCTCCACTACACCAGGTTGCTCAAAGCCCCATCCAACCTGGCCTTGAACACTTCCAGGGATGGGACATCTACAGCTTCTCTGGGAAACCTGTTCCAGTGCCTCACCACCCTCTGAGTGAAAAATGTCTTCCTTATATCTATTCTAAATCTCCCCTCTTTCAATTTAAAGCCATTGCCCCTTGTCCTGTCACTACATGCCATTGTAAAAGTCCCTCTCCAACTTTTCTGTAGGCCCCCTTTTTCCCCTTCCTGGGAAGATTATTAGGTAAATCCTCCTGGAAGCCAGTTCCAAGAACATGCAGGACCAACAGGTGACTGGGAAGAACCAGTATGGATTTACGAAGGGCAAGTTGTGCCTGATGTGATGAGGTCACTAGAGGTTAGGGGAAAAGCAGTGGAAGTTATTTACATTGATTTTAGCAAGGCTCTCAGCACGGTCTCCCATAGAGTCCTTATAGCCAAGCTGTGGAGATGTGGATTGGATATCTTTGTGATGAGTGGAAAGTTGGCTGGACAACTGAACCCAGAGGGTTGCAATGAAATGATATGAAGTCCAAGTGGCAGTCACTTACTAACGGTGCTCCTCAAAGGTCAGTACAAAGCTACAGCTGATATAATCTGATTTGTCTTCCGCATCAGCTCTGCCACAATACTTCTTGAGGCACTGCAAGGGTGAGTGAGTGTGATCAGGTGGCTTTCTTGCCAAATATTCGAGACAGAAGTCATTAGCACCAGTGGAATGACTTAAACCCTTTCCTTCTAAAATCAGGCGGAAACATAACGAGACATGTCCATAAAACCAGAATAATTCCAGGGCCCTTTCTGAATCCTGTGTTCAAGAGTACAAAATATCACTGGATGATTAAACAGCTTTGGAGGAAGATAACTACCACATTTTTATTGATTTTACCTAAACTTAGATTATTTGCAACATCGTTGATATTCAAGATACATTGAGTAGCTTCAAGGATGTCAGGTTTTTAATGAAAACTTTAGGGGTTTCTATCATTGGCAGTTGCAGTGGTCCATACAGGCAGGGTCTGATTCAAACATGATGAAGTGCATGGTAGACAATTTCTGCTGCTGTGCTGGTAAGTTGCTCCTAGTAGATCTGATGCAGAGAGATTTTAGAGGTGTGCTGTGGGTAGCTTAGTTGTGTGCTGTGGGTAGCTAGTGTTTCCTGGAGATTCCTCATGTTTGGCAGACTTTAAGCTAGTAAGACACATTGGAAATTTCTTGCAAAAGAACAGATAGACGTTTTTGATCCCTCAAAAGGAAATTTAGGCTTTTAGCCACTGAATTGTTAAAAATAGTCTCAACTATTGTCAGAACTGGGGATGAGACCTTTGAAAATGAGAGTAGTCTCAATGCTCTTGCTGTTTGAAGTGGCTTCAGCATGAGGCTTTTCACATCATCACACACGGTCCCTAGCTGGAGCTCCTAGAAGACATTTTGCTCTCATGAACTTCTCATCTGTTTTATGACCACAGTAAGCTTCAACAGAAGGGTGGCATTGCCAGGAAAGTGCTATTAGCCTCATATCGTTGCTCATGGATCAGGAAAGAACCCAAGTGTATTTTTCATGGAAGTAGTTCCAGCCATTAATGTTGCTCTAATTTTTGAGATCTGAGGACAGAGGAAGGGGGAGAGGAAAGGAGGATTTCTTTGACTTCAGCTGATTTCTTTTTTTTTTTTTTCAAAAGAACAATGATTTCTAAGCAAACTGAAACAACTATTTTCCATCTCCAGTGCTGCCGTGCTGTGCATGCAGGTTGGTTACTGCTTAAAAGTGGTTAGGAAGATAGGAGTCCTAGTATGAAAAACCTCAATAGGAATATCAATAGTTGGTAATTTTTTGAGTGATGCTAGTGGAAAAGGGTTTTCTGACTATATCCAAAGGACCTCTTTCCACATGGCTGTCCTACAATAGCTTGGATTACATTTGGTGGTGTTTGTGTTAAAAATCTTCAGTGTGCGAGAAATATGGAAAATATGAGTAAAACCTGGTTTATAGTTGAAAGAGGTGCTGCCAAAGGCAAAATCATGTAAAAAATATTACTGCAGCCAGTACTAACACCTTGGGTTATTGGGACTGATTGCTGCAGCCATGTTGATCTCCATTTTGCCATCCATTCTGTTAATTGCCATGTGTATTGCGTTCAAACCACACTGTGAAATCAGTTGTTCGTTTTCCTGGTTTCATCTTTTTCTTTCACCAGGCACTTTAGTACAATGGGTCCTCTCTGGGCAGCCAAACACAATAGGAAGCACACAGTTAGAAAAAGTCAGCCATGCTTGAATAATACCCATCAGGCAGCTTTCTTAGCTTATAAGAAAGAAGATCAAGAGACGATTTGATTACAGTGCTTTTGCCAGGAAACAAAAGCAGATGCAGTCTTTTTATCCTAGCAGTGAAAGTCAGAACAAGGACAAATAAATGTAAGTTAAATCCAGACACATCCAGACATAAAATGATGCTTAGGCTCATGAGGTATAGGTACAGGTGCTCCTGCTGCCAGCATTCTTCCAGTGTGGAGACCCTCAAGGAGAGGCTGGTGCTTTTCTGGCAGTGATGCTTTAGTCCTACCAAAGTTGTTGGGGCTCAGTTGAAGGTAACACAAATTCTGCAGCCTGTCACAGGAGTCACACTTACTGGCCTAATGATATAGGCTGTCATTAAACTTAATGGCTCCTGGAGAAGTACTTGAATCGTAGAATCATAGATTAGGGTTGGAAGGGGCCTCAAAGATCATCTAGTTCCAACCCCCCTGCCATGGGCAGGGAAATCCTCCACTACACCAGGTTGCCCAAAGCCTCATCCAACTTGGCCTTGAACACTTTCAGACACATTGAAAAGAAATACAAAACGTTTATAAGTAGATATATTTAAATGCCTCTGGAATTTGTTCTTTTGATATGAGGTTTTGCCAAACCCCCTTTAGCCAGCCTGACTGTGCAGCTGTTTCACAGGGAAGCTGGACAGCAGTGCTCTGTATCTGGAAGGAACACTTTTTCCATTTTACATCATCTGTCCAGATCTATCAGGATGCATGAAGAGTTCGCTAATTAAGTTATTCATTCATTCATTCATTCATTCATTCATTCATTCATTCATTCATAAGGATGAATGAATCCAGGACTGTCTTCATGACCTGGGGTCCCTGGTCAGGTACCAAATGGGGTGTCAGAGCCTGGTGCCTTGCAGAAATGCTCATTTGAGTTATGGAAGAGTTTTGCATTGAGGTAACAGTTTGGATCAAGTCTTTTGCGACATGGGGTTGTTTGCACTGGGCTGTTCTCAGACCCAAGTTTCATTTGGGCACCCCTCTATAACACTTCATATACCACAGTTTCAAACCCTTTTCCCATACCCTTGTGTTTCCAGAATGAGCTTTTGAGGTGGAGAGCAGCAAAAGATGGTTTCTCAGTTGCTTTGTGCAACTCAGTAAAACCTTCAGAGAGGGAATGGGGTTACTGGGGATGGGGTGCACACTGCATATTTTAACTCCCTGACCACATCTCCTTTGTTTCACCACCTCTTCCTCTTCCTCTTCTGTATCCGACTATCAGCAGCTGATTCCCTGCTAGGGAACTGTGAGTCTTAATACACTCACAAATGCTTTGTCTGGTTTTTCCTGATGACTGTATCTTTGTCTTTCAGTGCCTCCCATCCAATAATCTTCCTTTCACTGTCTCTCCCGCTTTTTCTTTTGTGTGTGTTACTTTTCTCTCCTCTGAGCACATTTGTAAATGCCTTAACACCAGGCGCTCGCGTGATTGTCTCTTGTGTTGCATTCCTCGGGATGTGTAAGAGATGTTTTAAAAACCTTATCTCACTGTTTACAATAGCTTGGTTCTGCTGTTTAATAAATTATGGGGATAATTGGTTTTTCAGAGTTCACATCTACAATGCATTACAGAAGGGATGTAACTGTATCTTTCTTAGCCATTTATCGCTCAGAAACACTTCATATAAAACACTGAAATAAATGTTGTAGGAGCACATGGATAACAAATTTAAGACAAGCCTTTCATTGCAGATTGCTACTCTAAGCATTCCCTGTAGGAATCTGTTTTTAGAGCCTGTTCCTGCAGCCTCGTTAAACAACTCAAGAGACTCGTGGTTAGTCGTGGGTTTTGTGTTGCCCACATCTCGTAGTGTTGAAGACATTTGGTCCTGGTATGGCAGACAGTACAGTTTCACTCAGAAACTTCTACGCAGTGTATGTATCTCACTAACCACAGTTGGCACAATGAAATTGTGGGCTTGTCGTGAGCTGGAACGTGTTATGAGAGCTGCCCCGAGAAAGATGGCAATGGAGAAGACCAAAGGTGTATTGGGGTCTTATAGAGACAGTCTCTAGTGCAGCCCAAACATAAGGTGGTGACCAGAAAGCTCTGCAAGGTGTATGAGCTTCTTCCCACAGGTCAACATATGAAGAGAGACTACATCCCTTTCCCCAAAACTATGCATCAGTTCATAGTATGGGCTTGCTCTCCTGCGTAGTATCCTCACCAAGCCTACTGTGATTTTTTTCTGTCTTGCTGTATCTACAGATATATCCAGCCTGCCATGCATTCCTCCCCAAATCATGTCCACATCTCTGATTCCAGGATCATTTCACCTTGTCTTTCCTTTTTCAAGTCCCATCTGAAATGGAGCCACTAAAACAAGTAGACCTGTTCTACCTGCCTTCCCAAAGAGACACTCTTCCAAAAAAGTCATTAGGGAAGAGAGAATCTGGTCTGTAGCATGAAGGACATTGCTTGATTGTTGACATGGGTTCTTGTTATACTCTTTTGTAGATACAGAGGGAAGACATACAGGGCGACTGTTAAGATTGTGCGAACCTCGGATCAGGTAGCGGATTTCTGCAGAAGAGTCTGTGCAAAATTAGAGTGCTGCCCCAACTTGTTCAGTCCTGTTCTGGTGGCTGAAGTCTGTCCAGAGAACTGCTCCATTCATACTAAAACCAAGTACAGTGAGTATTGGCGAAAATGCTTCTTGTTGCTAGCCAGGGATGAGAGCAGTGGGAGACTGCATGAGCTTAGTGAAGAACAGGAGTTGTGTAATACATTAATATTGAGTAGGATTCATCTCATCTAAGAGCAGTTATTTAATCCTGACCAGGCCACCATAGGCTCCCTTAGTACTCTATACAGAGAAATCGGCATCTCCAGAAAACTGTCCCATCTCACTCCATCCTAATATATCTGTTTGAAAGTCGGTTCTTTCGGAAGTCTTGACTTTTCTTTCTATGTAAATTTAATATAAGGGGCACATAAAAAAGGAACCTGCAGTGGCCAGCTGAAATTTAAACTGCTACATCTGAGACACCTTTGTTAGTTGAGATTAATCTTGTGCATCAGCTTGTGCCAGAAACTCAGAGAAGAGTTTCTGGGACAAGCAGCAGCACAGGCCAGTACCACAGTGCCAAGTGCTGGAAGGAGTTTGGTAGAATTGACTATCTCTGCTCAGGGTGTTTTATATTTAAACATGTTCCTACCTATTCAGGAAGGCTGAAGTTAAGAATGTGTTCAACACTTTGTTGTCAAGGTTACTGATATTGTTGGCTCTTAGGTCAGGAAAGTGGAAGTGAGCCCTGTCCTTCTTCCATAAAGGTTGCAAGAAACCAATATCATTGATTTAAACTACTTAGCTTCTGTTTAGAGCCAGAGTAGCAGGAGAAATTGGCTCAGGGAGATATTCAGATCACTGAATATTCACTGAATATGGGCTTCTGTGGAAGTCTACCCCTGAGCTAGACTCCTAGCTCCCGCTGGTAGCAAATGGAGAGCTGGAGGAATACAGCTAGGAGAGCTCCAGCTGAGATTGTCTCATCTCAGAGTTGATGGTTGTATGTGACTGGATGAGTTGTTCCTCAAAACTCCATTGATTTGATGAAAGGATCAGTTCAGTTATGAACTTTGACGTGAGTGCTAAGTGCCGTTTTAGTTGTCCTGGGATACTTTAGCTGGTGAAGGGCTGAGTATCTGTCAGCCCCAGAGGATGCTGTAGAGCATGTCAAAAAGCATCTAACACAAACACCTAATGTAAGGTCAGAGGACTCTCACATCCTTAATTTCAAATTGGGCCATGAAATAGTCAATGGTAATAAAAGCCCGTTCCTTCGTGCATTGAACAAACATACATAATTCAGGATAGCTGGTCCTCTTCACTCTGCTGAAAACATTAGCAACCAAAAGTGTATCTAAGATTGTTAACTCATGCAGAAGGGCATTGGATCAAATCTGAAACATGGTGGCCTCTCTACTTCCAAATCACTGCTCGGCTTAGTGGAAGCTTTGCCTAAGTACATACTGTAAGGTTAAATTCTGAACTCGTCACTCATCACCAATAAATGTGTGTACATAAGAGCTGTAACACTCTGAGCTGGTCCGAGATGACATATTTACACTGAACATTTTTTCCAAATTAATGTATTTTAAAGTTTCTTATGAAAGTGCATCTAGAGTGCAGTACTGAATCAGTAGCAAGAAGCATGCCAAAGTTTCCTCCTCTTGGTGGTTAAAGTTTTTAATGAGTGTTTTGCTTCATTTCTCCAGCTTATTATTATGGAAAGAGGAAAAAAATCATTAAGCCACCAATTGGGGAAAATAACAACATGAAGAGTGGGCATGTCAAGCCAGCCAGACGCAGGAAGAGGCGGAAATCCATCTTTGTGCAGAAGAAAAGAAGGTCATCAGCTGTTGATTTGAATGCTGCAGGCTCTGCAGAGGTATGTGTTGCCCTGGGATAAATCAGCAAAAGCCCCTTGGTGCTTTTTTGTCCCCCCATCCGCATCTTCCTTTTGAGGGACTCCGCAGCAAAGCTCAATGCTTCCATTTTCTATTTTGATTCCCTTCCTGCTACTCTGTTCTTCTAAGATCAGACTGGCTTTATTTGGACGCTTTGGGGACTTTCACCCTTGTCCATTCTAGTATTAGAAAATAGAGTTTTTGCTTCCACCTTCGTAGTACTGACTAGCTAACGTGCTGTATAGCATTACATCTTTGGGTTTTTTTGTTTCCTTATAAACCTGTAGGCAGGCAGATGAGCCTGTTAAATGCTTTGTGCAGCATCTAGCAGAGCGAAGGGGAGATCTGTGATCCATGTCTAAGATCTCTAAATATTATAATAAATAAAAATAACTCTCAGGCCATTATGGTTTCAAGGGCTTTTAATTTTTCATTAATCATTCATAATATTTTTGGTTCACAACATCAAGCAATAGATGTTCTAGTAGCTTTAGAAAGCAAGCAAATGGTTTGTGTCCCAAATATATGGTATTTGAGGCCTCAATTGTTCGAGTATGCTGTGGGATATGACAAGATCCCAGCTTCAGCAATGATTCATGTCCAGATAAAACCTTGAGCAGACCTAGTTTTGTGTGGACCGTTCCCAGGTAGTTTTCCCATGATGGTAAAGACAATGTTCATGTGTGTTTTGCTTCCTCAGCTGAGTGCCAGTGACTGCTGCTTTGTGCAACGTGAAATAAAACTGATTTACTTAAATTCTCTTAACTTCAGCTGGAGGCTAGGCGGCTTTCAGTTGATTGCTTTCATTTTCATGACTTGGCCCTCATTTAGGTGCAGTTGTGCTTCATTTCCTTAGATTATACCTGCTTCAAAGGAGTTTAAACTGAAATAAACTCAATGTTGAGCCTAAATCAATCATTAGCCAAATTTTTCAACCTTTCAGCCAATATAACTAACTTTGTCTAAAATTGCTCTTTCACTGAGCATATGGCTTGGATGCATGCTCACACTTTGATCAGAACTAAGCTGTTGAAGCCATTTGGGCCACTTATGTATATGTAAAGTTCAAAATACACAGTTTCCATCAGTTGATGTTTCCTTACAAGCTCTGTGTGACAGAAATAACAAGAATCTGGTGTAATATCCTTTAAATGGAAATTTGTGCTTCACCTTCAGCAGTTAGGTGTTGGGCTGAAAGCAGGGAAATCTGGGTGAAATCTTCTATCTTGGGTTTTACAGAAACGCCAGCTAAGAAATCAAGTACAAGTATACATTGGTACATCTAGATATTTTTGAAAGACACCAAAATTCCCTTCCTTTCAATACCAGTGGCACCCGTGAAAATTTGACACAAGGTGAAGGTGTAAATCCAAGCCTATTTCTGATTTTGTTTCATCTCAAGCAACCCGAATTTCGTTTTATCCGTTTAGTATTTTCCATTTCCCCTTCTCATGCACATCTGTGGTGCCACGAGGTTTGAGATACCAGCCCAACAGAGGAACATTTCGTGCCAGATGAGTTATTGCCGTTGACCTTTTGTAAGAAACAGAAAAAGGATTTATCCACCATGTATTTTTTCCTTCTGCGTTTTGTAACAAATCTAAATTGAGGGCTAATCTACTTAGCGCTGTAATGAAAATGAGATAATTCAGTTAAAATAAATGTTACCCTGGACCAGCATGGGCACAGCCATGCAGTCTGACCCAATGCCTTTCGATTTGCTGCTGTATTAATCTCTGAGCCTGGATGCTGTTTCCCCGATGGTCTTTGTGCAGGAGACCGAAGATGATGAGCCGGACGCGATGGAGGACGAGACGGGAAGCGAGGAAACCAGCTCAGAGCTCCGTGATGACCAAACGGATACCTCCTCTGCTGAGATCCCCTCTGCCAGGCCCCGGCGAGCAGTCACCTTGCGGAGCAGCACCGAGTCGGACCGACCTCCTGCCATGGAGAGAGCCCGACGGAGCCGGAGACCGCAGCCCCACTCCTACAATGAGTCAGAGAAGTGCCCACAAGTCAAGGAAGTGAGTATGCCCATAGGCTTTCATTCCCTATTAATAGCAATATTCTTCCTAAATTAACCTTCAGTGCCAAGCTGTCCTCGTCTGAGGAGGGCATCTCTGCCCTGATTCTCCACACAAGGTATTTTTCTTTATGAGAGCTTTTGGTTTTTTGTAGGAAATGAAGCAAGAAGAGGAAGAGAAGCTCATCCTGGACAGTAATCCGTTGGAGTGGACCGTGACTGATGTCGTGAGGTTTATTAAACTGACCGACTGTGCACCCCTTGCCAAAATATTTCAGGAGCAGGTAGAGGTCTTCATGTAACTGTTCTCTTTGTGTCCGTGGTGCTTATTCGCACCACAAAAAAAAAAAAAAAGAGCAGCACATACCACCTTGCTGGCTGGGCCCTGGGGCTTTGACAAAGAGATTACGATCAGACTTTAGCTGTCCTCAGGCCAAGCTATAGCACAAATTTTGGCAAGGCATGGAAACCCTTGGAAACTTGAATGAGAGCCTTGCCAGATCCTCAGAGAGAACAGAAACACCCCAGCTGGAGTGCTTGGTGAAAAGCAGGAGGTTTAGACCTTTCTTGTTCATGCCAAGGTCAACAGCACCATCCTGGTGTCACACAGGCACCAACAGATAGTGGTTATTTGGTACCTAGCAAGCTGTCTCTCGTGGCCACATGGGTTCCATCTTGTTTTAAAATACTGGCCTGGGAAGCAGAAAACTGCTGCTTGAACCCAAAACTGGCCATCTGAATTTTGTCACTAACACCTACATGCTTCAAGTATGTAGACACCGAATTCCCATCTACATCCCTCTGAAGATCTGGCAGTCAGGCCCTCGAATGACCTAATTTTAGGAGATGCCAAGCATCTCCCCATTAAGCAGATAGGTTTGCAGGAGCAGAAGCCAATGCCCTTCATCTCAAGTCAGTGTGAACATGTAAAATTTATGTCGAAACAGCCATTCCTTGGCTAATGAGTAACAGCCACTGCTGAAAATAAAGGGCAGTAGGAAGAAATCATAGTTAGAAAGAAGCAAGTGTGGTTAATTAGACCATGGCCGATGGCAGTCAGTGGTATGGCCAACTGCACATTGAAGTATCTCTGGTTCTTCACCATGAATAACCCTGTACATGAGCACAGCTGCTTCAACTGGGAGAAGTGGAAGTGGGAGTCCAGAGCAAGGCTGAACCACTCAACGGTCTCCGACCATTTGTTAATCAGCCTGGAATAACGCCAGGGCTATAAAGCCAACCCCACCTCTGCTTTGCCAAAGAGTTTTATGGGGGCTTTAATCAAACACAGATGACTGGAGCTTTTCCTTGTGATTTGCAAGGAAGCTCTGGTGCAATGGGCCATGCCGTCAAGCTTCAGTGGAGGAAGAACCTGAGCTGTGGACGGTCTTGATCAAAGCAGTGCTGAAGGTGTCCAAATCCTCCTGGTGTTTAATGGTACCTAATCAGGGCCGTCCTGGGGAGTTTTTGTTGCCTGTGAGTTACAGTACTTTTTCTGCACTTAGACTCTGATCCTCCCCAAGGGGTGAAAAGCAGTTTTGTAGCCTGCTCGTCTGCTTCTCAGTCCATTAAAGAATAAAGAGGACTTGAGTTCTTAATTAAGAAAAGGACCATAAAGCCAACAGAAATCCCTAGTAAAACAGCTTTCGTCTGGGGTGCTAGTTCATGGAGTTTGGTACATAAATATGCCTGAGGGAAAGGTGTGACCTCCAGAGGTCCCTTCCAGCCTACACCATTCTGTGATTCTGGGACATTAGAGATTGCAAGGGCTTTGGGTGGTCCAGGCCCCTCTGTCTCGGTTGTTCGGTAGCTGATGTGGAACAAGGCAGGTCCCAGGTGGACCAGGGGACACAGCATAGAGCAAGGCAGATAAGAACCTGTGGTGAGCAAATCATGGGCCAAAAGATGTGAAGGAAGAGTCTGACTTGGTAGTCAGACCAGCTTCAGTTTCTTCATTTCGCTCTCTCCTGTGTCTCCTGGTGTGCTCTCTGCAGCCTCCCCCTTGCCTCAGTTCCTCAGTCATAAAATGGGACTAATTAGATCTCTGTGGACCCTGCAGGGCTTCTGTAGAAGTTTATCCAGCATTTCAGCAGCTGGGAAGCTTTTCCCAAACTGGGGGCAGGGTGAGAGCCTATGAAGACACTTCTGAAAAGCATGATGTATCCCAGAGAAGGGAGATAGAATCATAGAATGGTTTGGGTTGGAAGGGACCTCAAAGATCATCTAGTTCCAACCCCCCTGCCATGGGCAGGGACACCCTCCACTACACCAGGTTGCCCAAAGCCTCATCCAACCTGGCCTTGAACACTTCCAGGGATGGGGCACCACAACATCTCTGGGCAACCTGTTCCAGTGCTGCACCACCCTCTGAGTGAAAAATTTCTTCCTTATATCTAATCTAAATCTGCCCTCTTTCAGTTTAAATCCATTGCCCCTAGTATGGGCAGCATCAAAGTGGGAGGAAAGGGCAAAGGACAAAACCACCTTTAATTTTTAGGGCAAACTTCCCTTCTTGCTTCTCCAGATCTGGTTATGCTTTCTGCCCTCCAGAGTCCACAAACAAAGCCATTATTGCTGTTTTTTTCCTCCCCAGGACATCGATGGCCAAGCCCTTCTGTTGCTGACACTGCCCACGGTGCAAGAATGCATGGAGCTGAAGCTTGGTCCAGCCATTAAACTCTGTCACCAGATCGAGCGAGTAAAAGTTGCTTTCTATGCACAGTACGCCAACTGACTGCACTTCTCCGTTTCTTGCTCTTCTCCTTCTTGTTCCCTCTCTTTTTTAACACTTCAACTTGTTCAAGTCTTTTATTCCCCCCCTATTGCTTTTCTTTTCCAAGAACGCATGGAATTGGAAGCACTGGGAATTAATCTGTAGGGAAGGAAGAAAAAAAAAAACAAACAAACAACAAAAAACTAGCAACAAATTGAACTAATTTTTCTGTACTTGTAAAGCACACCAAAAGACTGTTGGCATCTCTCCTCATGAGCCTCACCAACCCATTACGCTGTGGTGCGAGGCCAGCAAGGATCCAATGGTTTGTTGTTTGTTAAAACAAAGCTACCGATGGAAGATGCATTCCCAAGGAGAAGGGTCAGACATTTCTGGATGATGATCATAGAATCATAGCATGGTTAGGGCTGGAAGGGACCTTCAAAGGTCATCTAGTCCAACCCCCCTGCAAGGAACAGGGATATCTCCAACTAGATCAGGTTGCTCAGGGCCTCGTCCAACCTGGCCTTGAACGTCTCCAGGGATGGAGCATCCACCACCTCTCTGGGCAACCTGTTCCAGTGTTCTACAACTCTCGTGGTTTGCCGAGGTCAATTTCTGGACATGAACATTTCTTTTAGTCAACTCTGACACGCTTCTTTCATATTGAAATGTAAGTGATCGTTTGTAGCATAACTTGGGATTTACGGCAAATTTGGTCTTGGCGATCAATGGGCTTTTTTTCTCCCGTCTCTCCAGTCTTACAAAAGGAAAAAAAAAAATGCTATACCAGTCATAGGTTATTTGTTATTCCTGAGGGATTTATCTGTATGGTATCGGACAAAGCTGCAGCGAACTGACGGGTTGAACACGACCTGGTGTGCAGTAACGCGTTATACCAGTCATAGGTTACTTGTTATTCCTGAGGGATTTATCAAAGAGGACTGATGGTCTCTGTATGGTATCAGACAAAGCTGCAGCGAACTGACAGGGGTTGAACACGACCTGGTGTGCAGTAACGCGTCCTGAGCCGCGCTGGCTGTGCACAGTGAGCTGAAAGTCTCTGTGATGGGGTCTGTACAGTACTGCATTCTTGTGAAGGAACACGTGAAAGCCTCCATAGTCAAGCCCATCCTCTGAAATCCAAGTCACTTTAAAGGGCTGACTTTGAGCCCCACGGGGTGAAAAACAAAAAGGTTATTCAGATTTAATGATGAGACTGTTGAGTGAGTGCTGGTTTCATTTGCACCTTCATGAGTCTGGTTGCTAGGTGGGAGTAAAAAGCATCAATGTTTTCAGGCTGTGTATGCCACAATGCTTTAGACCAGCTGAGGTCTGGCCCTGCACAGTCTATATAAAGCCCTGACATTGTCCCAGTGCCACCCTGGCTAGTGGAACTGGGGGCTTGCTTCATGCCAAGCAGATTAAGCACCAGAGAGGATGAAGAAGTGGGTCAGACACCTTGGATTTGCCTCAATTGTATTTGTAGAAGTATTTTCCATTTACTTTGCAGGGATGTGTGACGCCATTAGTTCTATGTGTTGCGCCTGAACTGTTGTAACTCAGCAGAGGTTGGGGACGTCACATTGGTGTAAAATTCTCCAAAAACCAAGAACCAAACTGGGACCAAGTCTGAATTTTGCTCTGACTTTAAGGTGCAAGTGAATCCCTCCTGAAAGAAGTGAACTGAATTGTTCGTGCTGAGATTTAGCCCGACTTCACAGGAAGCCACTGACTTCAGCAGACTTCGGTTCTCAAACCATAAACTGGCCCCTGTTCCCTGGCCTCAGGGACCTCAGGTTGGAAATTGTACACAGCTCTGTTACAGTGCTGTGATGCCAAAGCCCACTCAGTGAAGACCTCTTCAAAAAGAAATGCCATTTCTAGCCCTAAATCTGAAGGCAGTTCTTATGGCCAGATAACCCCACCTCAAGCACTTACCATATGATGACAGCAAACTTGGATCAGATAATCCTGCTGACCACTGTGTGCTCAGAAAAACCTACTGACCAACACCAGGCTATAGCTGCTGCTTTCTCCTTCATCAGTTTCCTCCTTAAATTATTTGGATTAAAGAAGGAAAGCCTCAGAAATAAATACTCTGGACTACATCTGAATCTGCCCTAGAGCATGTGTTACGCAAGAAGTATTGACTCCATTTGCCATGCAACACTGGAGACTTTCTAGTCTGTCTTTTAGGCATCTCCTGGTTTGCCACTGAGGAATGTGATGGGTGCAACCACTGCAGGCTGGACCAGATCCTGCCAGCTCCTGAGACTTCATCAAAAAATGTCTTATGCGGGAGATCAGCACCGGATCGGTTTTCAGCTGTTGTCTTGTACTGAAGTTCTTGTTGTTCAAGTTTTAATCAACTGAAGGGAAGAGAAGTAGTCACCTCTCCATCAAATGGCTTTGTTTTGTTTCTCAGAAATCCAGGAATAGGGTTCTGTAGTGGTGCAGACATCAAAAAAACTGTGGTTTAGACTGGATGTGGACTGCGCCCATGCAACTGGTTTGATAACTGCTTTGAATCCCTCTTAGGGTCCCCTAAAAATGTTGCTTCTTGTTTCGTCTCTGAAGACAAAAGGATTGTGCCCAGCCAAATGAGAGCACAGCTGAGAAAAACAAGGAGGGTGCTTCTCCCAGCTCCTCGCTTCAGCCCAGTCCCTCTGATGGCTGGTGGAACATCTATCAGCAGGTGATAGCTCCCAAAAGACTGCTGTCAGGAGCACTGGCACAGGAGGACATTTCAAGGAAGGGACACAGAATGGCTGTTTGCTAAATAGCATCCCAGCACTGATCCTTTACTTACCACGTCCACCTTCTTCTGAACATCCTTTGCTGCCCTGGTCTTCTTGAGAGTTTCTGTCCACTGGGGTTTGTCAGAGACGTTTAACTCTTCCTGGGACACATTGCAAAAATGTCATTGCTTTCTCCATTGTCCTTGTAACTGTAGATATTCCTATGGCAGCTAACTACTCATGGAGGCATGGTTGGGGAGCAGACAGCCACAGACCCTGAGAGCAACACAGGAGTCTGCTGATTGTTCAGGGAAGTTAAATCGTATTTAAAACTCACGTATTAAAAGAAAAAAAAAAGAAAAAAAAAAAAAGAGTTTTAATTTCAGCTTGCGCCAGCTCTTTTATTTCCTCAGGTTTCTGTCTCCTCACCGTTTGTCTTTCAATTTATTGTTCTTCGGTGTTGTCTCGTTTATCACTCTCTGTCCTTTTGGAGAAGATGATGACCTGAAATCTTTATTCTAAAATTACCTTGGGTGGTAAATGCTTTATTATTGCTTTCAGTTTGCAGGTTGGGAAGAAATAGGGGATTGGGCTACTGTTGTCTGTTGCACTGGTTGCCTTCCAAAAAAAGCAGAGCTGAACATCTTGGGCAATTTCTTAAGCGAGTGGAAAATGGACTGTGCGTGGTTTAGTTGGACAGTATGCTTGGATTGTTGCTTGCAGCTTGAGCAGAGATCAGAAGGAACTACTCACTCTTGCCTGGGCTTCATTTCAATTCGGGAACATTAGCAAGGCTTTGGAGTAATGTACTTCAAAGGAGATGTTGGAAACCTGATCTTGTCAGGGTAAAATGTCACTTTACTTTGCTAAGTAGAAGTATAAGCCACTAGAGTGTTTGTGTTTTGGTTTTTTTTTTGTCCAGCCCCAGTTCTGAGTCAAATTCAGAGCTGATGCAACTTCACAGATAAACCGATGATGTTGGTGAAGCCACATCTTCTCCCCACCTTGTTCTGAATTTGGCATCCAGGCCTGAAGTTTATTGTGTTACCAACTACAAAAGGCCACCGCTGTGACGTGTTAAACTCATGATTATCCAAGTCCATTATGAAGGGCTGAGAAGCAACCCTGTTGTTGCTTTTGGGCTGTTGGATGCTGAACTTCAGCACATTGACACAGACCACTTTGCTCCCACACAAAGGGTGTGCAGGCACCTGTTGTTGGCCTCTCTTCAGGCATAGGACCAAGGATGGGCATTTCTGCAGCAAAAGTAAGGGGTTGAAGGGTGTGTGGTACCTGTGCATCTTCATCTGCACTGGTTTTGAGCAACCTGGTCTAGTAGAAGGTGTCCCTGCCCATGGCAGGGGGTTGGAACTAGATGATCTTTAAGGTCCCTTCCAACCCAAACCATTCTATGATTCTGTGATTCTTTCGAGCTTGCACTCATTCAGGTTGAACAGATCCATGGGCAGGTCCCTGCTCCCTTCCCAGCCCCCTCAGCACTTATGTTGACAGAATCAGCCAGTTCCCGGTCTGCAGGCCCCAAGCACCAGTCTCTGAAATTGGATTAAAGCGTTAACTTATGGGAGTGTCCATGGTTCCCTGGCTGGTTGTCCTGCCTTCCTCCTGCTGTCATGAATGCTTCTCTCCCACCTTGAAGAAAAATGCTGCCTTTGGTTTCAGAGCTCTTTTTCCCTTTCCAGCTCAAAAACACAGCTCCCATACACACTCACATTTTTTTCTCAACGCCAGGATGACCAAACCCTGGCTTTTTCTACCTCTCAGGGGTGTGATGGCCTCTCAGCTCTGAGAAGGTTTTCAAGGTCTCCAGCTCCACCGTGTTAACCATGTGCCATAGCCCTTGATAATTTGGTCCTGCAGGGCGCAGAAGACCTCCTAGAGATGCTGTGTGCCCTCAGTAACCACTGAAATCAAGGCAAATGGTTACACACCCTGTCCTTGATGAAGTATCTAGCAGATGCATGTCCTAGCTGAGATGGCCTGACCCACACTGTCAGAGGTATTTGATTGTCTGATAGGATTTACAAAGTTTCTCAGTAAGTTAGACACCTAAAATCCATTAATATTTCACTCTGGGTAAACAGCTAATTTGCCTTAAACTGGAAAGTCACCATGCCTTGGCTTTAACCTTGAACCTTTTGCAGTCCTCAGCTGTGTGGTGTGAAGCAAACACCATCTCAACTCTTTATAGGCAAACCAGACCCTGTTGGGCTGCCATAATCAGCATTTGGTCATCTAGAAAGCCTGCCTTGGTCTTTGAGG